TCATCTATATTCTTTATTGGTCAAATTTATTGATCAGCAGATAATACTAGACCAATATATCTTGTTTGAATATGAGTTGTATCAGATTGTAAATTTGGTTTTTTAGTGTTAGTCAATATACAGAAATTAAAGTTTTATATTTATGAAAAAGAATCAAATCAATGACAATTAGAAAATGTAATTTTGGTTTCATATTTGAAGAAATCAAATTTACATTCTGATTTTATCTTGTGATGAATTAAAAATATGTTTTATGATATTGGTGCTTAGAATATATGTTTTTTAATTTTGTAAATAATCTAATGTGTTCAACAAGTCTATGAATGTTTTTTCACTTTTTTATTGATTTATTCGAATTTTAAAACATCACATTTGACGTGCATTGATGGTATAAAAAGCCAAAAAAAATTAATGTATGTGTTATTTTTTATTTCTTAACCTTAAATTTATCAATCAAATTTCCAAAAATGGGAAATGGATTTTTCAAATTGAAAATAAAAATAAAAATAAAAATAAAAATTGTGGAAAATAAAGCATTCTAATTAGTTGAGTAGCAATTGAAACATAGTCAAAGCATTCATATTCTAGTCATAATCTAGTCATAATCTAGTCATATTCTAATTGTAGTCAAAATGTAAACATGGGTGAGAGCCAGAATCAGGTATTATCCTGACTGGGGCACATGTAATTTATCCTTTTCTGCAATACAGTTTCCTCTATTTGTTCCAAAAAAAAAAAAAAAAAAAAAAATCAATAAATCAATAAATCAATAAAGAAGAATCAGGTATTAGGTAGTTGAAAGTACATTCTAGAAGAACATCAAAGATCCAAGATGTGGAGGAGCCAAACCACACTTTGATGATCAAAAGGTCACTCACTGGATGGCCACACTGTGAATAAAAAATTAAATGCTTACTTTTACAAAAACATATGTAGATGCTGTAAAAGTGAATGATGGAAGTCAAATAAAATAAAATGAAATAAATATTTATATATATATATATATATATATATATGTATCATAGATGAATGCCTATGTTTAGTGGAAGAAAGGGAAAGAAAAAAGGTTATCAGATGGCAGGTACATGTTCAAACTTTGACTTTGCACTTTGGTTTTTGAGATACAATCAATGAGGGTTCATGGATGAGTTTGAACTGATAACAATGATACATAAATAATATTACAATAATAATAATAACACTAAGAAGAAGAAGAAGAAGAAGAAGAAGAAGAAAATAAAATAGCAGTAGTAAATCCCATGGTGTGAAAGAGATTGACGGTGAGGAGTGGGGTCTGAGAGCCAGATTCAGGGACCTATTTATTACCCACTTGGTAAGATGCCAGTCAAATAATGATAAGCTAATGGTGGTGTGGGGTATATGTTATGTTTTATGGAAAAGCAAATGAATAATTAAAGGAATAAAGGAAACAAGCATATGAAGGCAGGTAGTTGAGATTGGGGAAAAAGAGGCAATTGAATTGGTTTGGCCAAGAAGCACATTGGGAAATGCAGGAGTGAAATCCAGCAGACTCTATTTAGGAGCAACAACAAAGCAAAAACTGCACACTGCTCTTATACTCCCTTGAATGTGCATGTGTGTGTGTGGTCTATATATATATGACACATAAAAAGGAGGATGGCTCTCTCTCACCCACTCCCATCTTCACTTGGGTACCTCACATACGAGATGATAATAAATGGATGAATGATAATCGCGATGTGATGCACAGAAATGTACAAATAATGGATGATGGTGGTGGTGCATAAGTCGAACAAGCGAAAGAATTAACGAAGGTAGAGAGAGAGAGAGGGAGAGAGAGAGAGAGAGAGAGATGGGGAATGAATGAATGGATAGATGGATGGAAGCGGGGGAGGATGGAGAGAGTTGCCCGCCACGTCCTCCCGGGGGCGGGGGGGGGGGTTCTCATGGGCTCCTTCTTCAGCTGAAGGCCCTGGTCCTCCTCCTCCTCCGGGCTGCTCCTTCTCCTGGTGGTGGTGGTGGCGGGGCTCATAGTGGCGGCAACAAGCCACACAACCCCCCCTACGACTGATACAACTGGGCTGGTCCCACCTCCCTCACAAGCAGCAGAACAAGTCCAACGGACACGTGGTGGCCATAGAGAGAGACACAGCAGGACAGATGCCCCTCCCCTTCCTCCCTCCCTCCCTCCCTCCCTCATCCTTTTCATTCTACCAATACCTGATTGATTAATAAGGATTTCACTTCTGGACGTGGATGAATGTACATGTCACCATTTGTCCAGGCAATGCACTGCTTGCGCAACTGAGGCCATTGCTGAACTACTCCCGCTTACGATAAAACATACTCAAGAATCCATCCATCATTCATTCATCTGCACGCTCCGTAATCTGTGTAAATTTCCAGATATAGCGGTCGCTTTGACCTCCTCCGCTGTCACACGTGATGCCACAATCCCATGGTTTGGGAATGCGTGGCGTGCCAGCTCCTCATCCCCACTCCAGACTCCATCCAATGCGCTCCCTCATCTCCACTCCAAACTTCATCCAATGCGCTCCCTCCACCTGGCCAGGAGCCTCACATGCACGTTTGCACTAACTAGTATGTTCCCATACTCCTCCTTAATTTTCTAAAATTGTTTTGAACCTGTATTCATATCTCACATAGTTGTACCCCTCTCTCTCTCTCGCTCTATGGGTTAGACAGGACATCCTCTGCGCTCCTCTTCCACTGGATGGCTTCTTGGATGGATGGACATTCCCCATGACCTGACATAACTTAGTTGTGTCTTTTTACTTTCCCGACACTGGCCTTTGGTACTGTGATGTCCAAGTTCCAAGGAGGGAATTACAACATATTTTAATATTTAATCATTACATAGGTTACTATGGTTCAAGAGTCAGAGCAAATTGGTCACTTTCCAGGTTAGAAATTAGGAGTTAAGGTTTAGAGTTGAAGTTGTGGCTTAGGAGATAATTACTTGCTTACACAGCTGGTGAGGCTGCTCCAGAGTCTCTGTGTCAAATGAATATTAGTGATTGTCAGTTTAAAGAGAATATTCCTAATCAGAGAAATGCATGGAATGTTCTACTCTACTCGCTATGCATTTACTCAATAACCTGTTTTCACATTGAGGATGTAAATAAATAAATCTTCCACTATATTACTAACTGGGTAAATTCTCTATAAATGAATGTTGCCTCTGCTACATAACACTAATTATTTTTCTTTTCAAATTTGAAAATTTAATCTTAAGAAAAATATAGCTTTCTAATCAAGAAATGTAATGCTAGCATATTTCTTTTTTATGATTTTAAAAAAAAAATCATGCTAGATTATATTGTCATCTATTATTTTGTGTAATTTAAAACCAAAATGTAAGGATAAATATGTAGGTTCAAAATAACTTAATAACAACTAGGATTGAGAAGAAATTAAATTATCATAATAGGAATGTACTGGCATAATTATATCAATTTAAAATGATCTTAAGGACATCTTAATCTCTCATTGGTAAAAATAATAAGAAGAACATTTCATCTACTTATTACTCAAATATATATATATATATATATATGTGTGTGTGTGTGTGTGTGTGTGTGTCATATACAAATAAGATCTAATTGTTTTACTTAGATTTTTTTTAAAAATAAATTGATGTATTCTTTTCACAAAATTAATTTTTATTTATGTAATGTATATGTTTTTTTTGCTATGAATTTGAGAAAACCCCCTCTTAGGATTCAAATCTTTTGGAGCTATGATATTTCATACGCCCAATAAATATTTAACCATCGCTGTTAATGAATGACATTAATTTCTAGCAAATTTGCCTTTAAAGATTACTTTAGTTGCCTCACCAGTCACAGATTTAATATGTGACGCTTTTCAAAAATGTGTTCTAAAAATTCAAAACGATAATTTAACTTACCCTCAATTTTACAATATTTTGGATGGATATGTACACACACACACAAAATTATATATATATATATATATATATAAACAAAACGTCTTTTATATAAATGCATAATAAAAATCACAAAAAAAAAGGTGTATTTGACAATCTGGAATTCGATTGAATTTCAAAGCAGTGTGTTCACCAGGCTGATAGTGTCAATATCCTTGTGTAAAACATAATGGTGGGCTTGATCCCGTCTTAGATCATATATTATACATTTGCTCTACATTACACAAGGCTGAACCAAGCGGAAGTGTGCCCTGGTGCATACCACAGGTATGTGTGTATGCATTTAGTGGGGGTGGGGGGAGACAGGCTGGCAAGGGCCATAAGGTGAGAATCTACACAGTCAGCAGAAATGTTGCCACAGAGGACGATGAGGTGGACGGGTGCAGGGTCCAGCTGGATGTTGGACGGGTCTCACCACCACCCTCAGCACCACCCATTGCATGCTGGAGGCATGCTCACGACAGCAACACAGCAACTAAGTCCTCACTCAGGGCTGCGAATCCCGGGCTGGGCAGGGCCGGGCAAAGGGGGACCTGGGCTGTGAAGGAAGGAGGAAGGAAGGGAGGGGAGGAGAGGGGTGGAATGAATACTACGTTCGATAGAAGGGAGATATTCATCCATCAATGGATGTGGTGGTGGTGGGGGTGGAGACAGAGAAAGGCAGGGAGGAGGGAGGAAGAGCGTGGTCCATTTCATTGGGCCGCGGAGACTGTGCAATGATGATGCCCGGACTGATGCTCGTGCTGCACTGAAAATCACACACTGCAGGAGCAGGAGGAGGATAGAGGAGGAGGAATTGATGTGTGTGTGAATGAATCATCGGCCTTTGAGTCGATGGCTGGTCCTGTCACTGGATCATCATTCTTCTTGCTCTTATTGGAAAGGCCCAAGGAAGACAAAAAGGGCAGACATAACTCAGCGCATAGGAAAAAGTGGGCAAGGAAGGAAGGAAGGAGGAGGAAGAGGAGCAGGAAGAGGGCCTCCTGCTACAGAAGGGGTGAGAACACCGAGAGGGCACAGGGGGGCTGGGGGGGGGGGGCATTCATCTATCCCGGAAAGGCGCATTATCATCATCATCGTCGCATCTCTCTCTCTCTCTCTCTCGTGTCTGTCTGAGCTCTCTTCTTCGTCTCTTCCTCTCTTCTGGTCTTTGCTTCGCTTGAATTGCTGGTGCAGTCTCCGTGTCTCCGCCCCTCTCTCTCTCTCTCTTTCTCTGCTCCTCCCCGCTTTCTCTTCTCTGCTTCTTGCTCACTCCTCCTCCCTCCTCCCTCGCTTCTCCCTTCCCTTACCCCCCGTTCCCTTCTTCTTCATCCTCGCTGCCTTCTCCCTCCCTCCTCATGTCATGCAGTCGGTACCTGCTCCCTCTTCTCTGTATTTCGTAGCGGTACCGGCAGTGTCTTTACCTTCGCAACCGTATTCCTTACGTCTTTTCCCTCTTCGCTTCTCAGTTCTGGCTGCCACCACTTTCGTGCAATCCCTTCTAAGCCAGGAAGATCCGTCTTGAGGGAGGGGTTCCTGTGATCCTTCCATTAGCTTCTGAATGGTCGTTGTCAAGGCCGACGGCGAGGGATCGTTGTCGTTGCGATCTGTTTTACCGTCTATTGCGGCTGGGTGTGCGCCTTCTGCAACGTGGCCACAGCATCAGCGGGTGGGTGGAGGCGCACAGATCTTAGCCAGCACTCATGAAGGTGCGAACTAAGAGCGCGGATTGGGAGAGGGATAGGTCGATGGAGCTCGACCATCCTCTCTACAGGGCTCTATCAAGTGGTCGCAAGCGCACAAATGGTAAGATTCTTGAGATTCCCTTTGTCCGTTTCTTTGTCTTAGTCTTGCCGACCTGGTTGTTTTCACTTGATTTTCAACCGCTTTTTTCGTGAAAAAGCATTACTCCAATAGCGTCTTTGGTGGAAGTGCTGGTTATTTATAATTAGGACCGTGATTGTTTGTCGAACTTAACCATTTCGGTCTTGCTTTCACTCTAGTATGGGTAGCAAGGGGGGTATTTGTCCGAGTGCTAGCAGCGATACTTGTTGTGTTAAAGCTATCCAACTAACACGGTAATTATGTAAATAGTCGGTGACAGCATGCTTGAGGAATGGCTGAATTACATCTTAAATTAGGATGGTGCTGCATCTTCACGCTCGAGGGTTTTCCAGACTGATATAATTGTGTTCATGTGCTTGTAACTAGAGCACAATTGGGATTTGAAACCTCTTCTCTCGTATTTAGATTCATTGGCGATCTTAGGAGATAGGAGCTCTTAAGAAAAAGAGCAGAGAATTGAAGCCAATTGGGACAATCGTATGTTCTTCCATTTTTTTTCCTTTTAAGAAAAACATTATTTTATCATTCAAATATTATTTTTTAAATTAATTTTCTATTGGTTTTAATTTTTCAGCAGTGTACTTTAACAGATAGTTTACACCGCACGTGTTGAACTAAATGGGAATTGTCGATGTTAAGGGTAAGCCTGTGGTATTGAGGAGTTCGGTCGCGTTGCGCTTTTCTCACCGCGAGCAGAAGTACAATACCGAAGCGGTTTAACCAGAAAATACTGGTTCGTAAATTGAGGAATCTGTTTGCTTAGGCACATGAATTTGACTCACCTGCAAAGAATGCAGAATCTTCGCAGTTTTAGCCAAACTAACTTTTAAGCAATGAATTAACTCATATCTAATGGTGCACGTCGAAGACATTGATTATTGAGAGTGCGCTAGTTCGTGCGTAGAGCAGGGTTTGAGGCCGATGCTCACTACTATGTAGACCAGCATATGAGCCGCACACATAGGTTTGATTTAGTATTGGAGTTGATTTCGATCAATAAGTAATGATTTCTGTCACCTTTTTAATTTTCATTCATCTGAATTAACCCGGTTTGTGGTTACAATGGTCGAAATCTTGCTTATTCAAGCAACTGGAATACAAAATTTGTTTTGACACTATCATCATCAACTATTAAAGTGGCGTCTGTTATCAATAGTATCTGAAACTAGTATCTGAAACCACTATTACCACTATGGCATTTCTTGATGTGCTGCTATATTGGTTCATACTAAGATTTCATCAAAATAAGGGTTAAGAGGAATTGAATCTAGCTCATTCTCTATTGGGCACTTCCACCTGTTTATGGTTCAGTCCACAGCGTCGTTGCAAGAGGACTTGTTAGGCTTAGTGATAATGCTTCCCGATTTCAGGTGAAATGGACGACTACCGGAGGAGTGACGAGATTGCAGTTCGAACACCTCCAAATTTTTCAAGAACCCCTGTTCACTTACGACTTTCAATGAATCGGAAGGATGTGTCTCCATATGATGCTGAATACGACGACGCAGAGCCTCAAGAAGACGTCAGGAAGTATTTGTCGAGGTCAAACAGTAGAAAGGATAGGTCTTCTTATGAGAATGAAGAGCCTCAGGAGGATGTGAGGAGATACCTGTCTAGGTCAAGTAGCAGAAAAGCGAGGTTAGTGCTGGAGGCGGAGTATGAGCATCACGAGGATGAACCCAGAAGATCATTCACTCGGTATTCAAGTAAAAGGGATAGACCAGTTTTCGATTATGAAGAAGATGGTACGAGGAGACAGCTGTCTAGATCCTCAAGCCGTAAGGGAAGACTGGAATACGAAGCAGATGAAGAATACCCCGCGGACTTACTTGAGTACGATGCAGACGTAATTCTAAATGGCATGGAAGACCAGCAGTTATCCGAAAGGAGAAGGGCTATGTTTGAGCCACTTGGGCCCTCATATCGAGGACCTCGTGATGGTTCTCCTGATAGCACTCTTCCTCCACCTGATTTTGATATCTCTACTTATCCCCAAGGATGGGTTGTCGGAAAGAAAAGGAAATTGGTGAATGTCGACGTCGTCGAAAGCATGCGTCGTATTGCCGTCCACGAGATGAACCGTAAGGTATTGTTAGATTCAAAACTGAAGTGCTCATTGCTACACAACGTTCGAGTTTGATGAATTAACTGTTTATCATTTCAACCACAGCATCGAAGACTTCCTGATAAAGGTTTTGTCTTCACGTAGGACCGGGAGATTGGTGGATTGAATGAGCAACTGGAAGAAGATTCTAAGACCATGGAGCACCTTCAAATTCAGCTACAACAGGAACGGACTAAGCGTATGCAAGTGAGTCGCCTTCTTTCACTGGGTATCTCTATGGTCTGTAAAAAGTGTTGAAAATCAAAGGAATTGGGTACTTCGAGCACTGTTATCAGTTGTTTCCCCGTAGTTACATCAAGTCTGAAGCCAAAGTTTCAGCAGGCGAGGCCACAGTTCTTTTGATGAACCTAGGATGAAGAAAGCTTCCTCCATTTGCATGAATATTTCATGATCTGGAGTTGATATTTTGTGGAACCTAACCGCAGCAGTGATGTTCACGTTCCGAGGATTAGTTTATGATGCGCGTACAAGCTGTAGTGTATATAATCTTTCATTGGGATGAACCTCCTCGGGATTTACGTACGTGTAACATTACCAGGAAACCAAATTTAGTAAACTACTTTGAAGCGTTTGGTGGTGGGAACTGTAGCTATTTGAAGCTTGAACACTTTGAAATTTACTTCTTTAAGAGGACTGCAGTGTTGGAGAAATCACTAGTTGATTAGTCAGATAGTTTTTGATTTTGTTCCAGTGTTACGTATTCGCTAGTGCGTGTTTTATAGGTGTATCATGAAACATCTATGTTCCTACTTGATGCTGACCTGGCCTTATCATCTCTTTTTGTGTAGGTTGAAAGAGAGAACAACATGCTGCAGTCTCAGATGAACATGCTGGTGAATATGCTCAATGATGCGCCGGAGGTTGAAGATGATGAAGAAATGTAGCTCATATAGGACCCCTTCAATCGGTGTGTATGTATTGCGGTCTAAACTTTTTCTTGTGACAAAATATCAAAAGGTCAAAAAATTATTCAATTGTGTGATATAGATGTATACATGTATACATCAATTGAAGTGCTGCCCTTAAAAGCAGTGCAGCAGGCTGTTTATCTGTGCAGCTGTAGACAAATTTGTCAATTCTTCATTAATACGTCACATTGTAGTCTCTGATTGTTCAGAGCTGCAGGAAGAACACGAACCTCTAACTTTGAGAGGAAACTGCTGTCGTAATCTTTACTGTTCAATAGATGGTTAAATTGGGTAAAAAGGGTCTGCTCTGCAATACCAGATCTGCCTCGGTGTCAAGTGCTAAGGTATGTATTGAATCCTCCATTCTAAGAGGTAAGGGCTGCTGCAGGCGTTTCTCTTTATGTAAGTCTAAACATGGATCAACGAGCTGTTGTATTCCTTCACAAACTCCGAAATATGGTCACTTTTCCAATGCAGATGTTTCTCACATGTACATGTGAAGGGTGTGCCAACATTCTATTGTATACGGGTTATTTGTGACGTAAAAATCAATCAAGAAACGAAGACATTACATTCTTCGATTACAATTTCTATGGGAACATTGATTTGAACATAATCGTTTACAACCTAGCAGCTGCTTCTGGGACCGCAATAATCCACTTAAATACAACAATTGTCGTGATTCAGCTTGTTGGGAATTTATCTCGTGAGCTGATGGGAATTGATATAAGCTGTCCACTTTAACTCAATGTGCTATGGTAGCGAAAGATAGTAGGGTAGTTTCCCACAAGCTTCCGGATTTCATGCTGGACAACTACGGTATCTACAGATAGTGAATTTGCTGCTAAGTGTGAACTGGCAAGTTATTCACCTAACTACCTTCCGCCAGTCCAAAGCAGTACTGTGGAAACTGTAGAGCTCCAGTGAGTGGAAGCAATTAAGGGAATTGAATTGGCCCACACTTAGCGTTTCCCAAAGGTAACAATTCAACGAATGGATAGTGCCGCAGAACCGAGGGTACTGAAGAGTGCAAAAGATTGACAGACTGCTGACGCGTTGTGCATGGTGAGTAGAGATGACAACCTGAAGAAGGCCGCTGACTCTGCCTTCACGCCCGCCCTTGCCCCTGTTTTCCTCTTCATTCCATTCCACGTCGCCCTCTCTCCCTCCTGAAATTAAACTCCCAACCTCAGCACCGTAGACGACACCCAGGAGCCATTGCTGCTCTCTCTACATCTCTCGAAGGGTTGTCCAATTGGGTTTCCTCTTTCAAAAATTCATGCAGGATCTGCCCCATCTGGTCGTACTGATGTTTCTAGTCCAGCCCCCCTTGCACCTTAATTTCATGGCTTCTATGTCATGGCTGTAGGTGAGTTAGTTTACATAGTTCCTCAGGCATATGCAAGCATTAACAGCTTCTCCTTCCATGTCATACCTTGAAAAGGTTCACTTCGACTTGAATTCGTCTGTTAGATTCTGGACACGGACGCATGATTTTTGCTAAGATCAAGCTCGGAATACTATCTCATAGACCTGAAAATAGAGCACAACGTGTTAACGTGGCTGATTAGAGGTGGCTACAGCTCAGGAACGCACAATGCAAGGCATGTATCTGGTAGAGTCTATCAAAAAATCTCATAGACGAGACACTTCCAACCAGTTGCAGTGACCATGATTCTCTAGCCATATAAAGAGAGCCATCTCTATTGCTCAAAGAGTTTACCAGTGTTGTCCAGGTAATCAACAGTAATGAAATTTTTTTCGACCTCATTGCTCCGTGGCTCACGGTGTCTAACCTTGTTCACGAAATAACTGTTAGCTTTCGACAAATTCCGAAATGACAATAAGTAGCAACTGAGATTTGATGTGTACGTAGTTGCAGGAATGCACCAAAGACCATAGTTTTCACCGTCTGCCGACACCAAACCTGAAAGTGCTGCAGATTAGGATGGCAGAAATAACAGATACGGAGAGCAAGTCTGATAAGAAAGAAAGAGTTAGAACTCGTGACGAAACCACGAATATCAAGGTCACGGTAACAAAATTATAATCCTCTGTCCAGTTCCTATTGAATTTACTCCCTAGATGCCTTTTGAATTTCTTTCTGCAGTTTCTAGGGCACCCTACCCTTAAAACTACACATTCTAAAACTGTCTTCGCGGAATTGCTCGTACTCGACTTCATTCTGCGTCAATTTTACAACGGTTCGCGACTGTCGATTTTCAATTGTAACTATTGAATTCCGTCGAAGTTACAGCTCGGTCAGCAGCTCGAGTTCGGAGTGAGAAATGTCAAGCACTTTTGGGAGTGCATGATTACGCGACAATCAAACTCAGAGGACCGACTTTTCTGGAGCTCTTCCTGCGAAATCCTCCAGTGAGCGGCTAGACAAGCTTTGGGCATAAATGGCCTCCAACAAACAGATTGCTGATGAAAGAGATTCAATTACCTTCAAGATGTAAGTGTACGCGGCTTTCCATGCACGGATTGAATGAGAGGAGAGGATAACATACTAAATAAAATTTGATGTAAGTGGATAGACTAATTGAATGGGGTTGCGCAGAATGGAAAGAAGGGTGCAAATAGAGCTGGAGATCCTAGCGATGGTTGCAGAGGACATTCATGCAATCACAGCCTTAGAGCAACACTTAAAAGATCTAAAAATATCACACTTGAAGTCCACTTTGAAGTAACAAAACAGCAACACGACTTGATAGAGGCAGATGGAACATATTCTATTCGCTCATTTGCTCAAGATGGAATGTAGGAACTCTGTGATGTCTAACCTACAAAGATCATTTCGTAGTTATGGTTAAGGAGTGTTCTAAAGCATGTGCGTGTTCTCGTCGCAGCATCTCCGGACTAATGAAGCCATAGTGGTAGCCATGCGAGAGGAGCGAGCTTTTTCTAGACGGAACCTTCCAAGACGCATACAGAGCACTCGGGAGAAGACGCTTGCAGTCACTGCCTCCATCTCTGCTGTATCGGCACTGGTGAGAGGGTTAATTCTCCTTCCCCTTATCCAACTCCCTCTGATAGCTGCTCATCCCGCAGTTACCTCTTCCGTCTTCGATCTTTTAAAGAAATACTTCTAACTTCGAAATCTGTACTTCTGCAATTCGTGCACTTCGTCCCAAACAATGTTGGCAGCAGCGCTAACGATGTTATCATTCGTTACGTTAAGTATTACGGAGTTTCGCAGAACAAAGTAAATCTATCAATTTTCAATATCTCCGGATGAAATATTGAAAGATGTTTAAGGCGCAGTATTTTGAAGGAAGAGAGAAGCAACATGAACAGATTAATGCTGAAAAACAGAAATTGATGGGGAGGACTCTGAAGAGAAATGAGCCCTCAGCAGGTTTGGAAAGAGTTTCGTGAACTGAAAGCAGCCTTGGAGATGGAGAAAACCCAGGCTCTGGCAGACGAGATGTTTCAGCAAGAATCTCTCGAATCCTTGAAGAAGAAACTCTGCGACAGCGAGATGGAGGTCGTGACCCTTGAAGATCAGGTTCACAGCTTAACAGCAGACGTGGAGAAGCTCAAAGAAGCGCAAGCAAGCTTAGAGCGGGGGAAAGACTGTGCTGTTTGTTTTGAAGAGCTGGAGGGGTTTCTCACAGTGCACAGCGGAGAGACCACCTCTCAGAAACGCCCAAGAGCATGCTTTGTACCCTGTATGCATGCCAAGGTTTGTACCTCTTATGCCGAGGAAATCTGGAACAATTGCAAACACCGAAAGAAGTGTCCCATCTGCGAGGAGACGCTGCGTCGAAAGCCCAGGCGGTTACATCCCTGACGGTACCACGATCTACATCCGCGTGCATGTTGAGATTTGGTGCGAGTCTATCAGTTTGAAGTCTCACATGCCTCGGTTCAGAAATTTATTTCCAACCTCTGTTATATCCCGGTGGTGTGGTACGCACAGTCGTGTTGGTTTTCTTTCACGCTGGGATTCACTGTTTTTAAAAGATTTCGCTCAATTGGTCTGGAATTTCAATTTGTGTAGCGATGGGACGAGTAATGCATGCAGGCACGCACACAGAGTCCGCAACATACTATGGTCAGGTGGTTGTCTTAGCGTGCCAAATCTCTCCCTCACCGCCATCTCAGTACTCCATGCTTTAAGAACTAGTGTCTGTCTGGACTACATTATTAATTGGTATCAACTCCACTACCCATTAAACTCATCGGGCGCCAGCGGTGGAGTTGGCTAGCCATGTGCAAGATTGGTAAATGTGTTTATGGTTCCAGATTCAAGCGGATGTAGGGCTTTTTTGATTGAATGGAAATGGCTCTGAATCTTGCCACAAATGCGTGAAGTCCAGTTCCGCTGGATAGAAAACCCTCCCGTGAACTGGAGATCCAATTCACCGACCAATCTCCCCGAAGATCCAACCTGTTCCTCACTACACTGCGTCTGGCAGCCTCTCCTCGACTGCAGTTATTCTTGCTCTACAATCGCCGCGACCTTGTTCCATTGGGCTGCTTCAGAAATTTGTTACACGATCACTAAATCAACCATTTATCGACACAGCCCCGCTCCTCCGCAGTATCAACATGAAATTCAATTAGGTGGTTTTATCTACCAAACACTGCTCAAAACGTAGACTCACAATTTCCAATCTTGTATTTATGATCTGGCTGTTCAATCGAGCACCACCACGTTGAATTCGAGCTCGACATTCTCAACGCTACCATGTGCTTATTGACGAATTGGGGATCAAGCTTACAATCTCAACTGTAAGGAAAAGCATCAAGACATTGCAGCCCAAGGACGAGGCGGGCATTTCGATTGTATGATAATACTGTTCATGCTCGATCCCCCATTCTACTACAGCACTGCCAGGCCACAGTCCAAGTTGCAGGAACAACCAACCACGACTCAAAGTGCAGATTCCAGGTTTGTAATGTGAAACCGAGTGGGGGGTTTGTGCAGGAAATTGAAAATAGTAGTTGGTTGAGTTACAGAATGAGGGAGGGGCTACATTGAAAAGCTCTACTCATCGTTACCATCGCACCAGCACTTGCACTAATCATCCGTCCCTTTCCCCTCTTCTCCTCCTTCAATGCGCTTCCAAGCCACCAGCTCTGTTGCAGTTTTGTTTGTCTCTCGGAATGTCAGTGTTTTTAGAGGGGACATCACTGAGCTCCAGAGGACTTCACCAGTGATGCCAGATACTAGGTACACCATCGATGATGCACCAGAGGAGGGTAGCTTCCACATGGGAAGTGGAGAAGGTTTTCCGAAGCCAAGGACTGCCCCGAACCACCGAGTGGCACGTTAGATTCAATAGTAGC